TATCCTGCCAAAATGACTCAGCCTAGAGCTGCAGAGCCCAGTTCTCAGATTAGATGTAGTTCAGTATAAAGCCTTTCAAACTGCACTCATTCTACTGAGACAGCTACCAAAGCAGCTAATTATACAGTTTATGTGCTCATATGCTCCTTATGGGCACCTGAGCCCCATCAATAACACTGCCTCAGTTAGGAAACAGAGTGGGCAGCAGTCTTCCCATAGTGCAACACATTTGTAGGGCTAGATTTTGACTCAATGGGCAAGAAGGCGGGGAGAAGGTTGATGCATTGCAATGTGGATACTAGAGCCTTAGGTTCAGGAATGGTCAGAACCTGAAATGCAGTGTAGTTGTTCAAGCCCAGGATTTCCCGCCATTGGTCAGCTGACTCGAGTCCCATTAATCCTGGGTTTAAAGTTGCTGCGTAGACATATGCTATGAGTCCAGGGGAAGTTGTCCCATGCCTAGTCTGCCTTTGACCATCAAACATCTTAAAAAGTTAACAGAAAGTTGCTCTGCTCAGAAACAGAGAAAGGAGAATTGTAGGTGCCTTTTAAATGTTTGAAAAAATCACTGCAATGCAGCAAGTGAATTTAAGGTTCTTAAAATACAAGTCATGTATTCATTAGAAAACAACTGATTGTCAAACCCACTGATGTTTCATGAACAAAAGTTATATGCAGAAAACAGGAAAAAAAGAAAAATAATTATTCTGAAGATGCAGCAGTTTTAACAAAATATTTAAGTATATTTAACAGCAAGAATAAAAGCAGAAGAGATTATCAGGGATTTAACAACTGGTTAGATCATGAATCCTTTGAAGCCCCCAGGGCTTCACAATCACAACTAGCGATCACATGTACAGTACTATTTTAGTTTATGTAAGCATACTGAGGACAAGACTAAACTTAACATATCAAAACGCTGCTATGGTAGTACATGAAAGTGAAAGTATAGCCATGGCACCTGTACTGGACTCTCCCAGCTCTCTGTGGGCTTGCCTAGGCTACATCCTTCTTTCGAAAGAGGTATGAAAATGAGCCCGATCAAAAGTGCAAATGAACTACGGATTTAAATAAAGAACGGTTTCACTTTCGAAATACCCTTTTTCGAAACAGCGATCGGACACAAATATGCAAATGAAGCGCAGGATATTTAAATCCACGCTTCATTTGCACTTTCGATCGGACTCATTTACATCCCTCTTTCGAAAGAGGGATGTAGTCTAGATGAGCCCTGTGTAAATCACCTAAAGAGGGAGGGCATGGCGCCAGTGTTGCAAGCCATTTACACTGGTACTTTATAACACTTTAAATTTGCTGTGGTCAGGGGGATGTAAATATAGACTTAGATTTCTGCCTCTCTCAAATATTTCGGTCTGAAAAATTCAGTCTGCAAACTTCATCATACCAAGTGACTTCCTTATTTTAACCATGACAAAAATACAACAGATTCTTTTGACCAAAACCTGAGAGAGAGCGCACGCGCATACACATATAAAACGTTATGACTTCGGATGCAATTTGGGAAGTTTATTTTACTTAAAATGAGATTCACCCATGCTTAATTACAATCCAGAATGCTACCAGGAGCAAAACTTCCTTAAGTCTTTTTTTCTGATCATCTCGCTATGGATGGGATTATACATGAACTACTTTGGATGATTATGTACGAAGCCGTAAACCATTAATTATGCAATATTAAATTTTAATGATTTAAAGGCATAATCAAATATGCTAATGAATGAATACACATGCAAGTGAAAAAGCAGAACAATTTTCAAACACAAGGACAGATTTTCTAATTAAAATTATGACCATACCAAAAACTGTTTTCTAGATGGTACAACCAAAAGACACAAATGTAATTAAAATAAAATCAACTGGTCAAACTAAAACATCCCCCCCCCCCAATAAATAGCAAAGTGCAAAACTAACAAAGGATCATATTTCTGTTAGATATCAAGGGTCACAATTCAATGAACATTAAAAATATATTTCTACTGATATGTAAAATACAGCAAAAGACAGGAGTATAAATTAGTCTTTGGTCCCTGTGTTTGTACATTAAACCTGGTTTAACTACTGTCCTCTGTTACTGTAAATTACTAAGGACTATGCCCAGAATTACATTAATAATGGAGATTAGTTCAACATAGTAAGATTATCACCAAAAATTAAAATGATTTGAAATATTTTCTTAATACCGGTACATCTGTTCTAGCTATTTAGAAAACAGAGTTCTGTTTTTTATAGCAATGCATGACTAATAATGGAACATAGGTGGTATTTAAATCTTGAAAATCCAAACGAACTTCTACCTTAAAGTTATAAGTGGTTGAAGTTTCTTCACAACAGTTACCATATTCAGTCATTTTTCCAAAAACCAGAATTGTGCAGATATGTTGCACTTCTACATTACTGTAGTGAACATCAATCACCACAGGGTAACCATTCAGTGCCATTCATACAAAAGATGCTATGTCTTGAAATACTGCACAGTACTATTACAATTAAAAAGTAACACTGTTCCAAAAAATTTACTTGAGAGATTGTGTGGATTACTAGATGTATAAATTCTAGAATACCATTTTCACAAGATAGATTATAAAAAGACCATTCCCACAGTTATTACATGTACACATTTCATTTTGACTTCAGCCATTTTTTATAATAAGGAACAAAGAGTGCGATGCCAGCCAATTCTCAAAAGCATTAACTAAAATTAATCTTCGGTGCTGAAACTAATCTACTTCTTTCAAAGACATAAGACTACCCAATATGTTTTCACTACTGGTAACTGCTTGTTCATTCAAATACTGTGTTTTACTGTGGAAAGGTAATATATTAATACTTTATAACAAGCTATTTATCCTCATATCTCCCCCACACAAGAAAACAGTTAACAAGAACTTTCCCGCAGAACAGATAATTTTGTCCTATTGACATCTGGTGAATCACTTGGACATAATGTTGAATGGATTGACTGCCTACTGCTGCTAAGTGTTAATACTATATAGTACATATAGACAACTGAACAATTCAGACCACATTTTAGAGGGTAACACATTTTTAAAATCTAATACACGCTTGAGCTAAAAACCATTCAATATCTGGTCCTAATATTGCAGAGGTTTCCTTTATATGAAAAATACTAACCTAAATCATTATATATTTGCACACTAGCAAATACTTCATTGGCACCTCAATCGAGGTGTAAAGCACACTTCACCATTCAGTGAAATTTTAATTTTAATTCAAACCTCTGAACTTAGTAATGGCCTCTTTTATAGCCATTGACATAATACCATGAGACTGAAAATGTCAAAGCATAAAAGACAGTTTTATGACTAGAATTAGATGAGCAAAAAAGTCTGAAGTCTGTGATGCAACTTTCTAGTGTAAGCTGAGTCTTGAAATGATTCAAGTAACTAAAAAGACTATGTTTCAGGAAAATAATTTTTATATTCAGATAAAATATGGTTCCAGATCTTGTCACATCATAGAAATTCATTACTCCACCTAATAATATTTCTGATGATTAAACCATTACATCAAGTAATCAAATCTGATATTAAGCAGTAAGAGGAGAGTGAAATTATTTCAATACCTTTCCCCTAAAATCTCTCTCTCTCTCCAAGGTACATTAAGTTAAAAGGAGTATAATACTTTCGGTTATTTTATTTATACAAAGATTTTTTTTAAAATCAGTGACCTGACTACCTTGAATTATTTTTTCATTAATTAAGACAATGGAGAGAAATTCAAATCATTATCTACAGATACAGAGGAGCAATTTAATGTTTTCCTGGAAAATAATCTCTTTCCTAAACTGCATCATCTTTTTCTGACAAAAAGTATCAGGTGAGAAGCAAAAAATTAAGTGAACAATGAATTAATATTTGAAGATATTCACAATAATTGTGACACACTGCGTGTATGTGTCCATGTGTGTTTAAAAAAAGCAGATTCAAAGCCAACATACTTAAATTAACATTTGATTTGTTTTCTCTCCTGTGTATTTTTCTCTCACTCACACACACACACACACTTTTTAAAGAACAAAGATATTAATACCAGCATCCTACCAATTATGAATAACTAGGGGGCTGTGCTGCGCCCTGTCATGGGGGTTGGCAACGCCAGCCACCAAGGAGAGGCAGACTGTGGCCACATCAGCCAGGGTCCCTTCTCTTTCCCCCTGGCCACCTCTTCCTCCCCACTCCACCAGCCAAGGCTCCCTTCTCTCCCCCTCCACCAGCCCCTGAGCCCCCTTCTCCTCCCAACCTCCCACTGTGGTCTAACAGTAACTCCAGCAGCCAGGCCTGGCTCTTGAGCTCGGTTTTTGTGTCAGGAGAGGCAGGACCTGAGCCACCCCAGGCCTGGCTTTCCCTCCGGCTGCTGGGAAGGGGAGAGGAAGGCTGGGGCTGTCCCTCTGTCATCCCACAGGAAAAACTTTTTTATAGGTATAGTATGATAATTAATAAACCAATATATATGCAGGAAAGCAATGATAAAATCAGACTAATATATTGTATGTTGAAGTAGTGAGCAAAATAATTTGATTCATCATTGTGATGGTGGCCTTTTGATAGTGCTGCAAGTACTACTGTTTAAGCACGCCTGAAAAAATGTTGGGACATCACGACAGCAATTCCTCTGGTATATCAGTCCTCCTCTCTAAGCATGTATTTATTAAACTGTTGACAAATTCTCCCTTGGATATGCAGGATTACCTTTCCTCACCCAGACCTTCCTACCCTTCTGAATTCTGCACTTCTTGGATATTTTCCAATTTCTATTCACTTTGAAACACTGTATATGTGCATTTTATATTCACATCACCTCTGTTTCTTCTAAACTAGAAAGAACACAAGTCTACTGAAAGCTAAATATCTGAAAGTTCTACATATCATCCCAAGAATAAAACAAGTTCAGAAATGGGGAAGTACATGCATTACACTACTATCCCTGTTTTGATACTGATGAATCATTCTTAACATTAAACTTGCCATTTTTGTTCAGCAGAATACCAGCACAATCATACATAATATTTTAAAAATTCTTCCAATCTTCTTTGTAGTTTCTTTACTTGTCTTTTTATTCTCTTTTAGAGCCTATATTAGGCCATATTTTAAACATTAGATGTTTCAGAATTAAAGACTGTTTCTGGTTTTAAAATATCATTAAAAAGATTTAATTTCAACAAACTTCTGAGACATCACATCTGAAAATTTCTTTCATGAAGATAAACAAGTACCTTTTTCTAAAAGGGTTGTGAATACCTACATTTGGATAAAAATAATTGAATAAAGGAATAATTTACATTTCATTTTTGCATAATAGATTTCCTTAATTTGCCCTATGCACAGTCTACTTGGTGATTATTGGACTGATAAAATACCAAGTGTGTAGAAATAAAACTATTAAATCTCTTTTCCAAAGTTGGTGAACCTCACGGAATTGCTTCACAAAAAAAATCTCCTACATACAGTGCTAAACACATTAATTTTACGATCAGAATTGCTGCAGTCCTAAATCCCAGTAATGCTCATATACAATTCAAAAATCAAGTAATTATTTCATATGCTGAATAGATTAACACACAGCATTGACTAGGATTCAGTTAAACAAATCCTTACTTGTTTACCTGAATTAATGTAGAATATATTCACAGCACTTGTCTATTACTACAATTTCAAATGTTCATACATTTAAGTTAAAAAATTAAACTTCAAGTTTGGCACATATACGGATTCTTCAGAAATGTCCCTGTATTTTATCACAGCACTGTTAAGAACAATGATTTCATCATAAACGTTCACCTGATTGGCAGCTCTTCAAGGTGCTTTATGTCGCAGCGTCACATACATTAATTGCGCCTTCCCTGTGTCTGAGGCACATAAGGTGCAGAACATTAGTACAAGACTGTAGACACTAGAGAGCAGTCTTTTCCCACTTGACTGAATTTCTAGATTTGAAGTAGACCTGGTGCACTAATTTATGTCCGTCAGCCACTAAAGTCACTTTCAGAAAACTTATCTACAGACAAAAGGTTTCCTTATGTTAACTGAACGTTTTCACAGAAGTCTCAAAGCGTAGCAAGAATCCTTGAAAATGAAATAATTAATGTCAGTACTGTCTGTCCAACTCCAAATACCAGTGCTTCTAAAGGAGCCATGTTCTTCCCTGCTACTCTGTAAATACCAGCTACAGCTGCACCTAGAATCATAAGAAAAAACACTTGAAATTATTACACAAACAATAGGTCTAGGCTGAAGACTATTAAGACTATTAATATTGGGTATCAATATACTCTATGACCAAACCCATTATCAAATAACCTATTATCCCCAATGCTACAGAATTATTAATGCCAATTTACTTTACTTCTCTAATTTGTCATGATAGTCATTAAGTATGGTTACCCAGCTGAAGTGCATTCCTTAAAAACCTAGAAAACTACATACATATACACATAAGAATTCCTAATTTTTGAACAGCAAATATATAAAATAGAAAAATTGTCAAGAAAAGTTATCAACTAATACAGTCTACTTGCATTCATTGTAATTATGTTTATACTGAAGAAAATAATAGTTTTAATCACTTCATCAGAAACATTTGAATTTTGCAATGCTCATGTGCAGTAAAATATTTATATTACATAAATGTTGTACATCTCAACTGGATTCCCCGTAAACTTTTCTAGTGTAAGGGTGGGCAATAATTTTCAGTGGGGAAGCCATGTCAACATTTTTCTAAGTAGTCAAGGGCTGAACTTTTTTATGGGTATAAGGTTTGAGAGTGGCTGGGTGCAGTAGGGAGCTCGGGGTAGAGGACTGGGTGCAGGAGAGGGTGTGGCCTCTAATAGGGAGTTTGGGTGAAGGCGGGGGTTGTGATCTGGGGCAAGGCTTTGGGTGCAGGACCCAGGAAGGGGTATGGGTGCAGGAGAGGTTTCTGGCCTGAACAAGAGGATGCAGGGTCTGGGAGGGCCCTAGGGAAGCAGAGGGCTTGGGTGATAACCTAGGGCAGGAGGGGGTTGTGGCCTTAGGCAGGGAGCTGGGGAGAGGGAGGACTGGAGGGCCAGATCTTGCCTGCCACTGTTCTAGTAAGACTAAACTCAGTTTCATCATAGCAAATCAGTATCATCCTGATTTACCAGGGTTAAATTCTTTAAGAATTGTTTAAGAAGTACATTAACAGCATCGGTAAACTTGGCAATATCACCCTGAAGAGTATATGAAAAGGAATATAAATTGAATACTCTATATAAAGCTGAAGAGAGAGGAAATAATTTTTCTTGCACTACTATATATGGGCTTTCATCAAAGACTATATAATGCCAGTAGGTCAGGACAGGTTCTGGACAAACTAAAAAACAGAATACTGTATTCTAAATTAACAAGACTGCTGCTAGTAGCTCCTTCCAGCCAGCTTCCTCCTGTTAAATATCGTATCATTCGCACAGTATACATTTCACAAATTAAGGTCACAGAAGTGATATAATGTGAGAAAAAAATGACATTAACTATGAACCAGGAACATTAGGTTCTGCTTTACTGCCTAGAATAATGCTAAACATTTCTAAGTCTCAAAGGGGGTAGCTGTGTTAGTCTGTAACTTTAAAAACGAGCAGTCCTATAGCACCTTAGAGATGATCATATATATATATATATATATATATATATATAGCGCATAATGAGCTTTCATGGGCCAAACCCACATCCTTAGATGAGCAGAGTGGATGCAACTCAGTTCTGAGTCCTGCATACAGTAACCTTTGTAGTTTGTCAGAAAAATATGAAAGACTACAACAATGATAATGTGATCTGGATCACAACAATCCATTTTCATTTCACCTAATTTTCCATGCCTACAGGAAACACGTGGCAGGCAACACACCCACTTCCAAATTTAGAAGTTTCTTAGAGGTATAAAAGGTTGGTGGAATGGTACACATTTAGTATGCAAAATTTGCATTATACTTTTTTTTAGTTAACTTAAAGAAAGATCACATGGAAAGATAACCTATTCAGGCTTCGGAACATAGGGAGAACATTTAGGCAATATTTGAAGTTAATGAAGATATATTTAAACTAAACCTAAGAGCCCTTTTTAGGGCAAATGAATCATAGCTTAGTCAACCAAAGTAAACAGAAGCAAGGAATATTAACTTTAAGGAAAAGCTACTTTGAACTGATTCTCAACAAGTATATGACGACTCAGGGCAGCATGTCTAATTATATGTCTAATTTGGAACCTTTAAAAAAAAATCTGGTTTTCATACAACCATAGTTTATGCAAATATTCCAAATGACAAAGTATTATGGTCAATTTATGTAGATGAATGCACGCCGAACTGAAATCCAGCTGTTTGTTAAAACTAGGGATATAAAATTTTGATTATTTGGCTAATCGAACAGTCGATGCTATTTGCATCAACTATTTGATTAGTCGATAAGGGTGCTTCCACCTTTGAAGTGTAGCAACAGCCATTTCTACACTTCAAAGTCAAAAGCGCTGTGAGGAGCATGGGGCCAGCAGGAGACTCAAGAAGCCGCCCCCAGTGCCTGTGCTCCCCGCAGTGTTTCAAAGCAGCAGCGCCGCATGGAGACCAGGGTCATCTGGGGATTCCAAGCGGTGCTGATACTTTGACAACGTCGTGTGCAGTCCCCGGGACCTGGCATCAGGCTCCATGCAGCGCTGCCATTGAAGTACCCTCTCTTCTCCCCTCCTCCCCATTGCTGTCTTTTTCTGATAGAGGCAGCAAGTGTAGAGGAAGCAACTAGTCAATTAGCCTGTCGACTATCCAATAAGCATTTGCTTATCAGATAGTCTACTAGTCACTCACATCCTTAGTTAAAACCAAACAGCATCCCTAAAAAATGGACTCAGCTTCTAGCACCGTGGTGTCCAACCAGATCTGAAGCAGTAGCCACTATGGTGGTTACTGCTGTAGTGAACTAGCCACACTTAACCAGCCAAAAAGCCACATTTAGCTAGTGGCAAGTGTGTTGGACACAATTGCTTCTAATGTCTCAATAGTTGGGACAGAGAAGGCTTGTGATATTCAGAGGGGAAAAAAGTCCCTGCTGTAAAGCTCTCGAACATTTGTAGTTTGACATCTATTCTGGTCAAATTGTAAATTAGAATGTATCAAACAATTTGCATTTTAAAAACAGCACAATTGGAATGGAGCAAAAACTACATTGGTTCAAAGATACCAACATAATAAAAGTTAAGTGAGCACCAAATAAGTGGAGGTGAGAAGAGTGAAAATAAGAACATCTGAGTAATATATGTAACCAAAAATCCTCCATCAAGAATACTTTGACAAGAAGAAAACAGATATGCATGACATTGTCCAATGCTGTTTAATCAATTTGTGTCTTTGAACATAAAATGCTATTTGACAACTTGCATGTTTTCTCAACATTTACATGTAGGGCATTTAACAAATGTTCTTTCACCTGGAAGAGAGATACTGGACTTCCACGCAATTAATGGGTCAGGATTTCCCACTAGTCAACTTCGGTTTCTTAAAATAAGCTTTAATATGTTTCCCAAATATACAACAGATGCAGGAGATATGAAATGTAAAATGGAGACTCAAATTGGTCGTGAGGTCCACCTGAAAATAATGACTTTAGTATTGCAGGTAGGTTAAATTTGAACAGAAAAATTCACACCCCAATTTGCAATGCAGTAATGGTTAAAACTGAAAAAAAAAATCATGTCATGGCCATAGTCAGTGTTCCTATAATCTGTATGCTTGATTGTGCCAATCAGGAGAGATTCAATGCTGCCCAGCTGATTAGCAGGGCACCCACAGCTAGGTGTTTTGCTTCTACTGATGGTGCACGTTCACACATGCTCAAAGCTCATAAATAAATATATTTCACACATGGATGAAAAATTCTGCACATGGATGGAAAATATTATAAGGAACACTGGCTATAAGCTATCTTCACAAATTCACTTCAGTCAAATGAGCAGGTTAAAACACCTGGCAAAATAAACAACACCTACGAATACAATTATTTTGTTCCTGAAGTAACTTGATTAGTAGCTAGTGATGCAGAGTTTGAAACCAGCCCTTGGAAATGATGCAATAAGTGTGAGAATTCCAGAAATTCAATCAAGGAAATATGCATTATTTATACAAAAACATTTTTGCTAACTTATTATAATTTTTTTCCTCAAGACAGAACTGCCAAACAACTGGATTGCTCCTCATTTTATCCATAAAATAAGTCAATAAGTTCCAATTAAAAAAAAAAATAAACAGAGTATCTTTAAGTTTTAACATCAGTACCCCATCTCTCCAGCTTCAACTATTACAATTTGTTAAAAAAATGTGTTAGGTAAGTGTGACCCACAATAAGAGCCGTCTTGATCATTGTAAAAAAATGTCAATTCTGGAAAGGGAAGTAAACTTTAAGGCATCAGAATATGAAGGCTTGCATTAATTATGATAACCAACAGTGTTGTCTTCAAGTCATCATTGTTAAGTCCAAATCGAGTCTCAAGTTACTTCAGTTCAAGTCTCAAGTCGAGTCTTGAGTCCCTAAAGTCACTTTCAAGTCGAGTCTCAAGTCTTAATTTTAAAAATGTCAAGTCACTTTTGTACAAGCCATCAATATCGGTATTTTCAGACAATTTTTTCACCAAGTCGATTTAACATAATTAGCAAGTCTCAAGTCGAGTCTCAAGTCACAAACAATGAACCTGAGTCAAGTCTCAAGTCGAGTCACCTAGGCGACTTAAGTCGGACTTGAGTTCAAGTCGTGGGACTCGAGTCAACAACTCTGGCAACCAATATTTCCTGAATGCATTTGCAGACATCTATCAGGAATCACTCCCAGCCTATAGACATAGAATTTACTCTTTTTGTGACTTGATTCTTTTGTTTTTACTGAACAGCAAAGTTTGACCTATGACCATCCTGAAACATACTACAGGCAGTCCCCGAGTTACGCGGATCCGACTTATGTCGGATCCGCAGTTACGAATGGGGCCCGTTTCCCTGGTCTCCAGCAGACCAGGGAGAGGAAGCAAAGTGGCGGAGCACGCGGGCAGCGGACAGCCCAGACGCGTCTGAGCTGTCCGCTGGAGTTTGGCTTAACTGGATTTCACATTGAGTTCTTTGCAAACTCGTTTTCTCTTCAACTGCCATTTGCTTTTTCGCAAGCCGATACTGCTCATAATCATCTATCATC